GGCGTGGTGGCGCATGCCTGTAGTCCCAGCTACTCGGGAGGCTGAGGCAGAAGGATTGCTTGAGCCCAGGAGTTTGAGGTTGCTGTGAGCTAGGCTGACACCACAGCACTCACTCTAGCCTGTGCAACAAAGCGAGACTCTGTCTCAAAAAAAAAAAAAAAAAAAAACTAAGCCATGAGTGCTCACAGAGATATAAAAATTATTTTTATTAGGTAATAGACTCCAAATCATTCACTATCACAATCCCCTAAACATACTACTTGTGAATTATAGCTGTAGTACACAATCCAGTAGAAAGCTTCTGTGATGACAGAAACACCCTATGCCTACATATGCACATGGCTAGTATAGTAGCCATTAGCTATGTGTGGCTCTTAAGCACTTGAAATGAGACCACTGCAACAGAGAAACTAAACTGGCAATTAATTAAATGAGGTCGTATTAGACAGTACAGGTCTAATATTCAAGTATGCCCTGCATAGACATGTGAAACATAAAAGAGGTACAATGCTGCATTGTATTTGTTTGTTTGTTCGTTTTTTTTTTTGGTGGTTTTTTTTTTTTATCATTTGTAGAAAGCTTAAAGAAGTCACATAGTAGAATTCCAAAGATGTGGAAACAACCCAAGTGCCCATCAATACATGAGTGGATTAATAAAATGTGGCATATGTATACTATGGAGTTCTATGCAGCCACAAAAAATGATGGTGATCTAGCACCTCTTGTATTATCCTGGATACAGCTGGAGCCCATTCTACTAAGTGAAGTATTATAAGAATGAAAAAATAAGCACCAAATGTTCTCACCATCAAATTGGTATTAACTGATCAACGCTTATGTGCACATATAGTAGTAACACTCATTGGGTGTTGGGCAGGTGGGAGGGGGGAGGAAAAGATAGGTATATTCACACCTAAAGGGTGCAGTGCACACTGTGTGGGGGATGGGCATGCTTGAAGCTCTGACTCGGGTGGGGCAAAGGCAATATATGTAACCTAAACATTTGTATCCCTGTAATATGCTGAAATAAATTTTAAAAAGCTGTCTTTATTTTCAATCAAATTGTAGCCTTACCATCATCCTAGAAGATGCCGAATGAAAAGGACAAATAATCTTTGGGCCATAATAATAATAAGGCCATGAATACTGACCACTGCTGACTGGCTTGAATGAAGTTTTCAAATGAAACAAGTCTCTGCACATTCTATTTCTGAACACAGAGCCACAAACTAGACATGGACTTCTTTAAGGCAATGACTGGGTTTTGCTAATAGTTATATTCTTAGTGCCTAACACATAGCAGATGCCCAGTGAGAATTAGCTTAGGCAATATTAATAGATATTAACACAGACTGATAAACACTCAACTCATTTTTTTTTTCATTTGTAATAAGTGTTATATAAGCTCAAGGCTCTGGAATTGTGTGGGATAGAATTCGCCTCCATTAGCTATGAGAGCTTTGGTTTTTTTGTGCCTCCATGTCCTCAGTTATAAAAAAGAGAAACCGTCTGCTCTATTTAAGTGTTGTATTAAATGCATTTGTTGTTTTAAGGGTTATTCTTGGCACTTTGATATGCTCAATAAATTTTAACCTGTCTTCCTTTTCTCCTTAACATTGTTGCTTTTGTTAAGGCAAAATTTAAAAAATCTCTAAGCATTCTAAAATTTACTAAAATATGTCCTGTTATAACTATCTTTTCTGTATATCAAAACTTAGTAAGAGATAGAATAAGCTGTCTGGGACTAGAGAAAAAAAGAATCAGTTTAGTGAAAATTATCAAATGTTACTACTTCAAGTCATTACCAGAAAAACCTGCCAAAATTAGTAATGAGCTTTAACTATAAAATATTTCAAAGGAGTTTTTTTTTTCCATTATATAAAGAAAAACCATCAAAATTAGCTAAACAAAGCCTTAACTAGTAGAAAGTTTGGGGGCAACTCTTTAAAGAAAAAGAAAAAAACATCTTTTGTAGTACCTGTGTCTATAACATATAAGTTTAAAGGAGGCTTCCAGATCTCTTAAAAAAGACTATATCTTCTTAAGGTATTTGAAGCATTCTTAGACTGTTTTGTGAACCTTGCTAATAATAGCTCAGAGGAGGTACTTCACTTTCCAAATTCTAAAAATATCAAAGCAGGAATGCTTCTGTTCAAATCCTATATTCTAATGTTATGGAATACAAATCAATTAACTGCAACTTCAAATGGTTATACATTAGTGAAAAATAAAAAAGAAAGCAAGTAAAATAACACAACTGATCTCTGAATAACACCAGCAGCATCCATGGTCATATTAATAATCATGCTATAATATTTGATCCCTTAAAAGGGGCCATATAGCCTCTTAAAGCCATTGAAGACAGACAGATACACAGAGAGAGGAAAAAAAAAAAGACCCTAAGGAAAAGATACAGAGGAAACCAGTGTGCAAGCAGCAGTTGTTTGGATACAGACAGGACTGCATTCACATTCATCTACATCTAGAGGAAATCCCAGATATAAAGAGCCTCCCAACACTGTTCTAGTTACAAAAAACAGCTGAATCTGGAGATCAAAAATGGTGGACCAGGCCAGGCGCAGTGCCTCACGCCTGTAATCCTAGCACTCTGGGAGGCCGAGTTTGGCAGATTGTTTGAGCTTAGGAGTTCCAGACCAGCCTGAGCAAGAGCAAGACCCCGTCTCTACTAAAAATAGAAAGAAATTATCCAGACAACTAAAAATATATAGAAAAAATTAGTTGAGCATGGTGGCACATGTCTGTAGTCCCAGCTACCTGGGAGGCTGAGGCAGTAGGATTGCTTGAGCCCAAAAGTTTGAGGTTGCTGTGAGCTAGGCTGACACCATGGCACTCTAGCCTGGGCAACAGAGTGAGACTCTGTCTCAAAAAAAAAAAAAAAAAATAGTAGTGGACCAAAGGAGTCAAAGAGCATCTACTTATGTTAGCTCTTCTTTTTCTGTTGCCACTTCTATGCCTGACACAGATTGCTAGTGCAAAAGTCTAGGGAGACCTTAGAATGAGCATTAGGCCCTGGACTCTGGAGTGGCTGCTTTCCAAACAGAAAAAGATCTCTGATGCAGGAAGGGAAATACAAGGATAAGGAAAGCCAAAGAGAAGCTGTAGCCAAAGAGTGGCTGTAGTCTGTAGACTAGGCTGAAAATTCAGAAGGAATACTCCTATAAAGGGATTCAAGTAAGGGTGATAGCCACATTCACCTCCTTAAACTCTTAGATGAGATTATTATAGTAATTCTCAGCTCTGCCTGCAAAACACTGTGAGGGTATTTTCTTTTTCTTTTCCCCAAAATGACAGCATCCCAGGACCTGGATATAATCATCAGAATTCCTGGGTATAGTGCTTAGGTAAATACATTTTTAAAGCTGCATGGGTAATTTTGACACACAAAGCAGAGATAAGAACTATAGAATCAGAATATGAAAAATGTTAGCCTGATATGATGTAATCAAATTAGTAATTACTTCTTTGCTTCTTCTAATAAGAATTCAAGAAGGACGTTCAAATTTTTGATAAACAAACTCCAGCCTCAAGGGACATGGTTTGTTTATTTGTCAAAATTGATCTCCTCTTAAAATGAATGTGTTTCTCTGTCACTATGTGAAATGACCAAGATTTCTTTAGAAATAAACAGATTTCCAATGATGCTTCTATTGTTCCAAGTATCTTGTATCCAGAAAGAAATATGTATTTGCATGAATAAATACATGGCAAATCTGTATGGCATCAATTCTGACTTGGGGCCAGATGCTTTACTGTGCTTCTCAGCCCCTGAACTCATGAACTCTCCTTGACTATAACTAATGTATGCCGGGAAGATAAGTGCTGAAGGAATTGTTCTCCATCTGCAATTACTCCTTAGAGTCTTGAAGTCAATACTTGAATATTACAAGTACAGCACAATCATTGGTCAATGACTCAACACACGGCTGTAATATTAACTCAGGGTATGCTTCACAAACGATTCTTCTCCTCTTACAGTTGCTGACAGAGTCCCAGCAATGAACCTGGTGTTTAGAGAAAAGCAGATAATTGTTTGTGTGTGTATGTGTGTGTGTGGTGTGTGTATGTATGTAAGTGTGCGGGTATATGTGTGTGTGTGTGTGTATATATATATATATATATATACATATATATATAGAGAGAGAGAGAGAGTGTGTGTGTGAGAGAGAGAGAGAGAGAGACAGGTGTGTATACGCACACAGAGAAAGAGAACAGCTGGATTGAATGAAAATATATTGGTATATTAAGAGAGTATTTGTTCCTGGCTTGTCAGTATTAAAATATTTTCCCTTTCTGCTATTAAAGTTCAGTGTTTAAGTCAGGGAGATCTGGATTTAAATCATGGTGCTGTCATTTAATTAGTCATGTTCTGTGCCTTCTCTGAGCCTCAAACAAATGAAAAGAATAACATCTTTAAGTTGCTGGGAAGTTGTTGGGAAGAGTAAATAAAATATTACACTTAAAGATCATACCTCAATGGCTGCACATAATAAACACTTTCTTAAGTTTCATTGTCCAGGTCACATAGATTTAGTCCAAATAGCATTATTTGCCATAAAAATTGTAATACAGGGGTTTTAACCAAAAGTACTTAGAGTCATGCAACCACATTTTGCAACAATAATATGGCTACAATTTTAGAAAACTTCATTTAGATGCAAATTCATGGAAATACCTAAACAATCTAGAAATCATATAAATGCAAAATATATTTCAGGATTATATTTTACCATATCTCCTAATATTTAACAACACACAAACACACACACACACACCATGGTCTGCAAGCCTTGGAAACCGTCCTTTGCCTCCATATAAATGATACTTTGCTTGTCATTTTTATTTTTTAGTGATTAATGAATTCCTTGTAATAATTGCCAGTTTTCCTCCACCCCTTTGTCCCCCGCTGCAAAAGATCTCATCTATTCAGAGAAAGATAATTGCAGAGCTGTTGAGACAGAAAAGAAATCACTGCATCTCACCACTGTTGTGCGCCTCCAGCTGTGAGGCAGAGTTGACAGCAACCTTGCATAGCGAACAGTAAAGAAGCCGTTTTGCCTTTTCTTCCTCAGTCTCCGTGGAAGGACATGAGCTATTGCCAGTGGCTGTTGTGGGGCTTTTTTCTACTTTAGAGGTGATCTCAGTTGTCATAACACTGCTTTTGCGGATTTCCACAGTTGTCGTCGTTGATATTGCTGGTGTCCCTGCAGTACTGTCTGCATTCAAAATAGCATAGGAAAAAAAGGGGGGGAAACAGTGATATTATCTTTTTCTATTAGGAAATGTATCACTAATATTACATTCTGCTAATAATGATAATAGCAGCTAGCAATTGCTGTTTGTCAGTTATGCATCAATCATAAGAAAATTTACATAGATGATCATATTTAATTTCATAAATTGCAATAAAACATTCAGATGATATTCAAAATCTCCATAAATAAAATTTTCAAATATTCTATGGGATAAACACAACCACAAGTTTCTTTTGTTAACATATGGCCTTTGTAAAATAATATGTTAATATTTTACATCCTATATACATATATTTCTACACAGATGGCTTTCAGAAATTAAAATAGAAGATGAATGCCTATAAGATATTTTTCTTTTTCTTTACTACTTATCTATTTTCCTTCTTCGTTTCTTTCTTTAATTAAAAAACAGGTACAGATCCTTTTGCATATATGCTTATGCAAAAATAAATAAATAAATTACAGAACCCTAACGCCATAATTGCTTTGTCCAGATCAACAGTTCAGAAAATCATTGCCCTATTTACAAAGGGTTATAATTCAACACCAGGTACAAAAATCATCAGTATCAAAAAAGGAGGAATTCTAGTCTGGCATATTTATTAAATGCATACCCTGCACTAGGCTGTGTGCCAGGAGTTTGTGGCATAAGTATTCAAACATCAATAGTCACTATTCCCAAGGAATTCACAAAATGGTCACACCATGTTGTTGTCACATCGTTTCAAGAGTTTAACAACCATGAAAGTGTTGATGTACTGTAACCCTACAACTGCTCTGGCTCCAAAGTCTGATTCTAAATCTGGAAAGATCAACCTCCAAAGTATATCTATCCTGCTCTAAGTTTACTTGGGTACACACAGCTCTCCTCCCAAATATGCCAATCACCATGATGTTAGCAATGTTTGCCATATCCAATAATGAATTACAAATGAGCTCTACACTCACACGCTGCCTGCCCATATACTACTTTTTTATGCCATCCAGCTGGCTCTTAACCAATATGCAAAATGTTCCCAGACTGTCTTTACAGCTACAGCTGCTCTTGGAACTCTCTCTTATTCTTTATGCTGCTATGGTCACTATTTAATGCCATGCAAAAAGTTCACAATGCAGGGATTGGGCAGGGGTATAAGGGACAGTGGTTTTCCTTCAAGGAAGTCTTGTCTGCATAAATGCTTGCTTCTCGTTACCTCACACTACCACGAGTTGATTGCAGCTACCGGATGCCTTTTTCTTGGATAGCCCCTTTGATCCAGTGATATGGGTAAGGTTGTTTACTGCTACTTTTGTAAATATGGCATCAGAAACACTAGTCAATAAGAAGACACATGAACTCTTGTTAAGGACTCTCGTGTAACAGAAGTCATCCAGATTTGTTTCCTCTGCCTGACACTTCACACACTTTGAATCACTTATTTGGCTGCTAAGATGATCAAGTAAGTCTCTTTCAGTGTCCTGGAGAACATTCACCAATCATGTTTTTTTAAAAAATCATGCTGTAAATCCTCCTCTCATGGCTACAGAAAATAAAATGACTCTAACCCAAGTTTTGCCACTGGTATACATGTATTTCCTTGGCACTGAAAGGTCCACTTCCTGATTAGTTTTTACTTGCCTGCTAAGGTTACATTAGTAAAAAGATAACAACCAGAAAATATCTATGAGAACACAGAATTGGCATAAAACACAACAGCCTTAAGATGTCATAGCTGTTCACTGTCCCTAATAAACCAGAATTGATTGTTTGAAATTATGTGTATACGTACCTATGAATAAATAACAAATGGCCAATTTGTTACATGTTTCTTATACTTAAAAACAATTTTATATACTTATAAAATAATTCCATTTAACTGCCACAAAAAGCTGCGAAAGTGAGAGAATTCCAGACATTAAGAAAATTTCCCAAGGTTACATAAGCAGTATATATAGTAAGGCAGAGTAATGCATTAAATAGAACAAGGAAGTTACAGACTTTAAAAATATGTACATATATATATTGGAGAGGATACTCTCAGCCATGACTGTGATTCTCCATAGTCAGGTCACAAGCTCCAGTGGGATAAAACCTCTAAATTGTTCTTATGATCAGCTCTATATCAAGTGACAACTGTAAATACAGATATTATATTTAAACTTAATGTGGCCACATGCTGAAACCAGAGTGGGATACAGTGAGTATTTATTTCATTGAAATCTACCATGGCAAAGATTTACTTAGTAATACCCTACTTCTAACAACTTTTCCTCTGGATTGACATGTTTATTTTATATCTTGATCTGAAAATGGCATATAGCATAGATCATAGTAATCCTAAGCTAACTTTCCTATTTATAGTGAAATTTGTTAACACAAGTATAGAATAAACAAAACCAGGAATCTTCCAATCCCTGTGACAGCTACATTAGTGTCTCTCCTGACCCTAGAGGATAATGTACATTTATACCAAAGACACCACAGGATTAGAGATACCAGATTCTCTATGCCTAGGGCTTAGTGAAGTATTAACATTTCTTAAGGCAAGTTCCTTGCATGAGACAGGCTTAGAGGAATTAATATCAAAACTCTTAACTTCTGGTACTTCTACTTTGTGGCATACTTTTGACCACATAGCTGAGCACAAATCTGTTATTTCCTAAGCTTGTGTTTATTTGTAAGAAATATAAAGTTACATTTTTCATTTTAAATTTAATACATAGTTCTTGACTCCATAAGGTAAGATTACTATTAATTTATAATGTGACATAGATTTTTTACTAATCTTTCTTTTATCAGTGATAAAATATCCTTCTTTTTAAACTGAGAAAGTAAATTGCATATATTTTAAGATTATGCCTTATTCAAAGAATATGTATTCTACACACTGCATACAAAATTGTATATAACAAAGACATTTTCTTTACTATGGTACATTAAATAACCAATTATAATAATTCCAATCCACTCATTAAAATAGAATCTTAAATGAATGATCATGTTAATAGCATATACCCTTGATATGACACGATAAGAATTACTTCTGTGGTCTTCCTCCTCAAAATATATAACCCCTGTCTAACCATGAGAAAAACATAAAACAGACCTAAGTTTAAGGACACTCTACAAAATTCCTGTCTGGCACTTTCTAATATTAACAAGGTCACCTAAAACAAGGAAAGTCTGAGAAACTGTCACAATCTAGAAGAGCCTAAGGAGACGTGAAGACTGGAACGTAATATGGGATCCTGGATGAGATCCTGGAGCAAAAGTAAAGGACGTTAGGTAAAAATGTAGGACATCTGAATAAAGTATGGGTGTTAGTCCCTAATAGTGTGTCAATATTGGTCCATTAGTTGTGACAAATTTACCATAGTAATGTGAGATGTCAACAATAAAGGAAACTAGGTGCAGGATATATAGAAAACTCTGTTATATTCTTATATCTTCTCTATAAATCGAAAACTATCTTAAAATTAAAGTGTATTACATTCAGGAAAAATAGAATTATAACTAGTTAACAAATAGTGCATCATTCTGCTTATTTTATAGAATTATAGAAGGGACCTTCATGGTTTTATGATATAGCTTTCTTGATTTTTGGAAAGGGAAGTTTCAGTAAATTTCTCAAGATCATTTTGTCCTCAAAGGTAGAAACTAAGACTTGATGTTGTATCTCCCATTTCCAAATCTAGTGCTTGTTATCTTACCTGTAATTACTCATGCACTCAAACTTTATTCCATCAATATTTATTAAGTAGATCTTTTGTACAAAGTTCTATGCTAAGCCATTGGAGATAAGAAGTTCAATAAACACAGATTATGTACTCAGTGGCAAAATAGTTTATAAGACATCCACAATGATATTAAATAATAATAATTATAAACTTATTAATAATAATCTCTAATCTGTTTTGTTCATTCCTATTTTCTTGTACTTATACTTGACATGAAATAGACACAATAAATACTGAAAGAAAACAATAAAGGAAGGAATGAACAACAATAATAGCTAATTATTGTTGAAGGACTTTTCCAGCATTAAACAGGTATTAACTCATTCAATCATCATAAAAACTCAAGGGGTGCATATTTTTATCACTGTCGTAGCAAAGAAACTGAGGTTTGGAGAATCTGGGGAACTTTCCCAATGCCTGAGCTGCTACCAGGTATAGCAATGATTTGTACTCAGTTTGACTTAGTTGTGTGTGCTTTTCATTTACTTTTTATTGTTAAAATTTTGATTTTTTAGTAAGAGAATTTGAATTAGTCATGATTTATTATGCATGCTGAAAGATAACATCTTAAACATTTGACTTTAAAAGAAACTAAACATGGCCTGAGCTAGAGTCAATCATGTATGTCCAATCATCCATTATGCTAAAGTATTAAGTTGCTCAAATCCATTTAAAAGGAGAGAAGAAAATAAAAATCCACAAGTTTCAAATAACCTCTTGTGCAGAATGATAAGAATAAACCATAAGCCTTCATTGCACCTTTTTTTGTTGTTCAAAAGATGAGAAAGTAGAACAATGATTCACTTTTCTCAGTGTTTCCCAAAGGCTGATTCAGATTTTTGTTTGCACTATACAACCAATGACTCTAGAAACAATGTATGTGACAGAGAGTTGAAAATAATGGGTGAGATTCAGTGGGAAGATATGGTTAGATGGTTTGGGCTTGCAATTCTGTACCATTTTTCTGCCAGCACCCTGTAGCAAATATTCATTATTGCAACTGTCACTATTTGGCTTTGGCATAAAAACAGATTGCTAATACTTTGTGGAATGGGGCTTTAGTTGAAAATGGAAGGAAACATGTCAATATTCAGAGTGCCCCATTTGTGACCTTCATCTTATATAAAAACATGGTAAACACTTTTTTAAAAATTCATAAAGCATATGAAGAAATCCAGAAAATATAAACGATTTGAATTCTGAATAATAAAATTAAGCAGCCAAGTTGCATGGTCTGGGTAAGA